TGTTAAAAACTCACATCAGCAAATCCTGTTCTTTGCCACTATCGTGTTCCCTTTCTAGATGCTTGGTGGCACCTGTGGCATCCTGCCACAACCTAGTCAGGCAGGTTCACATCCACAAATCCCACTCCCTGGGCTCACACCTGGCCTGACTGTCAGATTGGGAGCATGATCATGACATTGGCTCTGCATAATTATTGTTTACCACGTGTATGAAATCATCACTGCCACCTAAAACATCACAGACACGCACACACTGTCTGACAGGCTGCAGCCTACAACAGTTAGTTACCAAGGGGGAGCAGCAGCTCAATTACCACTCCTGAGGTTTTTGTTCCATTTCTCAGTAATTGTTCATATGTGTACTTGGACTATGCTTCTGCTTGGAAGTGTTTAGATACATTGTATAATAAAACATTAATCCTCTCTCATACATTATGTCTGAATGTAACCAGCATGCCCATGTACTCCACTGGGATTCTGAACGTTCATTAATATTCATAATACACTTTCAGGATAAAGACTGTTGTGTCATCACTATTGTCTGTCTTTTAAATGAATAGATAGCATATGGTAGGTGCTTTTTGGTCCATTTCCCCATCAGTATACTTCTTTCCCCTATGGCTGTACTGTTTAAACAACTCATTACTTTACAGTGTTACCTGCTATTTTGCCATAGAAGCTGCTTATGCCTCTACTGACTTGGTGTCTCAGCAAATGTAGTATCTCCAGCTAAAAAGAAAACCCCAAAGAAGAAAGGAAAAGAAGGCATTTTCTCCACTTCAGTTGTGAAGATTCCAGTGCTTTTGCTGTATGCATTAAAGTAATAACTCAGTATAGGGGGTAACAGAGAGTCTCATTCTCCTTCCCTGGCAGAGCCTTGTTTCACCCTTTGAGAAGGGTCCCTTTCTGCAATTCCAGCCAATGCTTCCATCACTGTACAAAACCTTTTTAGTAGACAAGATATTCTCTTCCTATTAGAGACTTCAGCCTTCTTTTATCACTCTGTCTCACCTCTCTGCTCTCAGCCACTCACTACCTGTTCTGTCCAGGGAAGATCCAGAAACCTCTCCTTGGTTCAGAGCTCTTCATCACAAAACAAATCACAGCTATGTAAGTCTACTCCATATAAAAATCCTCAAAGCTGCCACTGCTTTAATCTTATCTAAAGAAAGCCTCTCAGAAAAACACTGCTCCTCCAAGCTGCCTTTCTCCTATTAAGAGCCTCTAACACGTCTTATCCACTCACAGAAGATGCAACTCTCTGCACCTAAATTATTGGGAAGAATCCCGAGATCTGAAAGTCAGAAAGGGTTTTCTCTCAGTCTTTTGTTAGAAAGAAACACAGCCATTTGAGGTCTGAAATTCGGATTTGGATGTGTCTACATCTGCACTCTTCAGCAAGTTAGTGTGCTTCTTACCTGCATTTGTTCTATCTTTAAAAACATACAATACTACTCAGAGTAATGCTTAGGGGTCATTTCTAATTATTTAATTACAGGATAGCTCAGAGCCTGAATTGTTTGCTCTAAATCCACTGCCTTCAAAACCTATTGCAAATTCCAATCAAAATTAAAAGGAAAAGGAAAAGAGGTACTCCAAGTTTTTGGATAAAAACCTCATCTTTGCAAAAAGCGTGACACAGTCACGCTTTTGGTGGCAAAAGACTCAGACACTTTTTGAGTAAGTGAAAATTAACTTCAAAAGTTTTTATTGAAATGTTTTAAACAATCTTTTCATATCTATGGTCTAATTTGTTAATTTTAAGCTTCTTATAGGAAAATAAAAAGACATAATCACTCTGCCTTTGGGGGTTAACAGAACCTTTGTGACTACTTGTAACCATGGAAATATAAAGAGCTAGTCAGAGCCCAGCATCAAACTAACAGAGGTGCTGAGAGACAAAAAATAGATATATGATGAATTTTCCACACATGAAAGCTCACTGAATCTGTACCAACTGCATTAACAACGTAGAAAGCAAAGTCACAAAGCCTTTTGATTGCTTAAAAGCATATGCCATTTACTATGGCTTCTCCCTGAAAACAAAGGAAAATGCCTTTAAAGGTTTGTTTTCAAAAGCACTGAGTGCATCTGAACTGGTCTAAAAGCAGAGACAAAATGGGGTAAAAATGATTACTGTGTGAATAGGAAGAGTAACAATATGCATGAAAAGACTAAAAAGGGCCCTGAAGAAGAAGAAGAAGGGTTTTCTTGGACTAGGATTGTAGTTAAGGAGATTATGCAACCAGTGGCCGGTGACATCTAAGTTAGCCTGTACCAAGCACCATCAAGAATGTTTTCTCATCATCTGCTGACAGCCCCCCAATTTAACAGACACAGAAATATCTAAGACAAGCAAACACTCACCTGATGATTTATTGACCTATCTGCCTTATAATAATAAGGCATGTGCATATTTAACTGCCTTTTATGTGACAGCCCAAACCACAAAACATTGTTTAACCAACCACAACAACAATCCTTAAACAGAGTCATCCTCAAAAAGAGACACTTTGGGGAAAAAAAGGAAAACACATATATTTCTTGTGCTGTAATAAGCAAGATATGACCAACAGCAGAAAAGAAAACTTTTCAATAAAGTTGAAAAGTAAATTACTTGGGAAATAAAATAATGAGTATACACAGAAAAAAAACCCTGTAACATATGTGGAAACTACGTACATGGATGTTATATATATGTTATATTATATATATATATATATATAATATACATATGCTATATTTTATATATTTGTATAAAGACTAAAAAGGGCCCTGAAGAAGAAGAAGAAAGGTTTTATATATAAAATACAGCATATATGTCAGCTTTACTTTCCCAGGGATAAGAAAAAAAATGACAGATTAATTCTGCAGACTTTTAAGATAAACATAATTTTGTTGTCTTTTTATTTGTCCATTTGTCTATTTGTTTTCTGTGAAAGCACAGCACAAGCCCTTAGGTCATAAATACATTGCAGATTTCTGTCAGCCTGACTGTGCTGACCAGGGTTGTAAATAGCTAAGATATCATTTAAATACAATTCTGATGGTAGTTGTACTTGAAAAAAAAAGACGAAAAAAGGGGGGAAAAAAGTGTCTTAGATAAGATGCTGGGAACCCCAGACACAGAGTTCTAACTCAACACATAATTAGGAATAATTGTATGTCAAAAATAAGAGATCTTCTGGTCCGTATTAGATGAATGAAATACACACTTACTGTTTCTCACAGGTATGATTTGCTATTTCACTCTACTACCACCTATTTTCCTCATTTACCTCAATTGTTTTTCAGGTCTTCATAAAATTTTAAACTCAGTATCAGATTAATGTCATGAAAAATGAAGATACCATCTGGACAACATTTTCTTGCAACTTTTTTGTCATCTTATTTGTACTTTCAGTTTCAGAGCTACCTTGAATACTTTTGCAGGTACGCTGAGTTAAGGGTACGTTCATTACACTGTATTTTAAATTTCATTACTATGTCTATGGAAATCTCCAAATCCTATACTTAAACCGTGACATTTTAACCAGGATAAAATTTGAAGAAGTCTCATTCATCCATTCCTGAAAATTAATGATACAGATAAAATGTTATACATCATGAGTTTTCAATAAAATAATGTTTTTCAGGTGCCTACATTTAAAAAAAAAAAAATTGGAGCGGGTTCCTATGCTGCTAAATACTTCCAAAAATAGTACCTCTCTATCTATTTTGCTGGTAGAGTATCTGATATACTTGAACCCACTCCTAACTCTCCTAATGAGAGTTACTACTGCACTATACTAATTACTGCAATACTAGTCATGTGCACAACCCCCCAGTTCATTACAAAATCCAAATGCATTCCATAGGGTTACATGAGATGTATCTTACAGCAGAATGCATTTCTAGTGCTCCAAGGGAATCTTGGCTACACTGCATATTTCCATTTAACTTCTGATTATTTTTTTTTTAGTCATATTTGGGAATTCAATACTCATGAGAAATACCAAATGCAATAGATAGAAATGGTTGAATAGAGGCCAAGTAATAGAAGTCTGGTTTTTTTTCATTAGTTGTAAAATCTTCATATTGGCCACTTAATATAATTATGGTTCCCAACACAAGGCATGAAAACCTGATAGAAGCACACAGGAACACTTCCTACTTTCACCAAAGGTCTGATCCAAAGACCACTTAGGGAAGCCTTTCAATTCACTTAATGAAATGTACATCAGATTTCTAGAAAGCAGACAGTCAATTCAGGATTTCAGCAGTGGATGTATGCTGCAATAAATATACTTATCCACCTTTATGCATCCTTTCATGCTTGACATTTATACATTCAGTGTATCTCTTTTTTTTTCATAGACTTTGTAGCCATGTAGCCAATAGCTGATATTAAACTACAGACAATACATTAGAGAACAGTAATTAAAATCTGGAGTAAAAGAAGCCTGATGAAATGCTACTTTTAGTGGTTATATTATATTTGAATAAAACTATACTAGGGTTGATATAGGTCTTATTTTTCACAGGCTAAGAATTTTCCAAGACAAAATTAAAAGAGTTGTGTAGGAAAAACTGCACACTATTTTATGCCATCAACATAATTAAGTATGACACAACATAAGGATTATGGAAGGAAACCTAAGGAAATTCAAAATAATTGGCAACTCCAAGCTGCTCCTTCCAACTTGGAGTTTGAATTAATTAAAAGATCAAGCCTAAAACAATAGAAGAAAACCACATACCTAAAAGGATGGTTACCCTCCTAAAAAGTCAGAAAAGACTTTTAGCATAGATTTCCTTCCCGTAGGATGAAAAGAGTTCTAGATATCACACCAACATGACACAGAGGCAGGATCAGCTTGGCTGGGCTCTCTGACCCAGACAGCCTGCAGGAGGAGCATGTGAGAAAGCACTGAAAAGGATTTTATTTTGTTGGGTGTTGCAAGTTTGTCTGTCATTAAGTTGTTAAGGCTCCCCTGTAATCTCATGCATCGCTTCTCCATCTCTGGTTCTTAAGTTGATCCATGGGACACCTGGAGATGACACAAACCTTTTAAACAGACAACTTCCTGTGCACCCAAGCAAGCAAAGAAATATCTGGGGAAATAAATAGAGTAAATAAACCCACAGGGTATCTTACATTTTATAAGTATCTTACATTTCATTAGCATTATGTGAAAGGTATTGAAGTAACACTGGACAAGAAGTAATACTGGACAAGAAGTGCAACTGACCACTAGCATCTTTTTATTAAAAAATTGCATGGTTTTGCTCATTAAAATTTGTTGATTAACATCCTCTAGAGAAGTCTGCAGCACTCAGAGCAAGCCATAGCAATCTGCTTAGACTGCATCACCTGCACTGCCCTGGGCTCATGGGGCAGCCTGGTGGTCCCCTATTTATCTGGCAACAGTGAATGTTTTAGTTGTGCTCCCTCCACTCCCTCCATGTTCAAGCTGCTACATCATACTTTCAAGAAACATCAACAGGAATGACTTTAGAACACTATGACTGTTATCCAGACTAGTCCCTCTACACCCTTCTTTCCTTGTCTCCAAACAGGTGTTCACAGACGAGTGGATAGGCCTGTGTTAAGTCTAAGATAAATAGTGTAATAAGTCACTTCCATGCTCTTTCTGAGCCTGCAGTGTGGTAGAATATCTTTTTTGCTTCCCAAGCTGAGAACCAGTGTTTTGCTTTTGGGTTTTTTTTTTTTTCATAAGGAAAAAGAAAAAATAATTGCTCACAAAGAATAGAATAGTAATTTGTATTAGTTGAAATCATACTATAAAGGCCTTAATTTTCAGGTTTGTGACCACATATGGAAGTATAAACACCAGATGGATATCATAGAAGTGCAGTATACAAGAATAGTTCAAATTTATGCCACTCCCAGTGACATGTCCATAATTAATAACCAGATTCATGAAGTCATGAAGTGGGTGTGGACAGGGTGGGACCTGTATCAGATGTGGTAGGTAGCTTTGTAGCTTTGCTTCAAGTACAAACTGTTTGGGCAACTGCAGGAGAAATGAGTGGTCTGTGCCAGTCCCGCATGGAAGTGGAGCTGAATGATTGAGGACACACCGTGAGTCACATGATGCAGAACCTCCTGGCTACCACTCATGGTGAACAAGTGGAGATTAAAGTCCCCTTGTTTTCCTTTGTTGAATCCCTCCCACTAAAACCCAAGAGATTGTAGCAACAGTCTGGGTGAGAATACATTTATGATGACATTGGTGCTTAAGATTTCACCAACCAAGGTCAGCTAAACATGCAAAAACAACACATGCCACAGTTGACTTAGGCAGGAAATAAAATGTGCAAAGAAAAGTAGCTTTCTACCTTTCCTAGGCAAGTTTTCCTGCTCAGAAAAGAGTCAAATTATCCTTACAGCATCTGAACTCATCAGTGGGACATTCTGGCACCTCCTAGCTTCAGTTTCCAGTCTTCATATACTCCAGAACACAGAGTATACAAGCCAGGCAACTACATCAGAGCTCAAGGGATGGTCAGACCCAGGGAGGGTCTACGAAGGTGTGGGAGACAGGGAAAAGCATTCCAAGCTGGCTGCACAGGTAGCTCCACTTCATACAATGTTCAAGAGTCCAATGCCTGACATACCTCAACAGTGCCCATATTTTGTCCTTTCTCTTCATCTGTCTTTTTCCCAAGCATCTCCAGGAACAGGTATCTTTGGCTTCTGTCATGACTATTTTTTCATTTGTTAAGAGCTGGCTGGGATTTAAAATCCACAAAGATGGAAAAGACTTTTCTTTTTGCACAAACAGATAGATGAAGTCCTAGGATATCATGGCAAGAGGCTAGGTTTTGGAATTAGGTTGCAACTTGGCATCCATTTCCTACTTACACGAGGTAAATATTTCCAAGTGAATCTAAATCATGCATGTAGTCTGTATATAATTAGCTAATGCAGAATCTTTCCTGTTATTTGTGCCTAGTCGCTGGAATTTATCCCCAACATATGTTACTATGGATTCCTTTTTATTGCCTTTTTCAGTCCCTGAAATGGCACATCCCTTTTATGACATATGCTGCATATATATATATTTTGATCACACCACTGCAAAACATCACTGGGGACTAACTTAAATGCTGTTGACACATTGACCTTTTTTTTTTAAACACGAAATGGACAAGATACATGGGGAAAGACAAGACACCGAGATGGAATATGAGTGACTGGGCACAAATATGAGAATAGGTTTTACAGGATTATGTTAAGTGTCCTTTAGATTGTAGAGATGTCAGCTAATGTAAAACTCTAATGTACCAGCTGCTGTCCAAATAGATCACAAAATGAAAGTCCCCATGCTGAGCAGGGATTAAAATAGAGCAGCTGATGAGTAAGATGCTATTTCTTACATAAATTTCACATTTCATGCACTAAGACATCTCATTGTCAAATATTCGTGGGGTTGCTATTTCCCATGAAAAATCTGCAGCAGAACAAATGCATCAAATCATTTCACTTTTCAGACTTCAAGATTGTTATTTTCGTGCCACACAGAAACTCCCTTTTAGTCTGCTTTGTGATTCATGTGTTCGGCTGAATAACTCTCCTGGAACTCAGAACAAGAGGGAAACCTTCCCTAAGTACTTCCTGTCTTTTTACATGTACTAATAACAAGAGGGAGTCCTCCCACCTTTCCCATTTACAACATGCCAGGCACACCTACTGATTGATACACTCACAAGCCTCAGAAACAGTCTGCTTTTGCTCTGTTTTTAAAATAGCATGATTTTCTCTGTCAACAAAAATGTTGTTTATCTCACATTACTTTGTATCAAAGTAATATTAACACACCACTTAATTAATTGCCTGTAGACAAAGGAGAAATCCCAACTTACCATAAAACATAAAAGATGCACTTCTCTTCCCCTTTTTCCTGTCTACAGCCAATCACAACTTTGAAAGTGTGTTGATCTTAAAACACAGGAGAGAAACGTGGAATGTTGTGGGGAAGTACAAACTATGCCATGTGTTTAACCGTGGGAGTTTGCAGGCCTTGCTCCAAGGTGCCCAATGCCATCAGTATGAAACCAATGCTGAAATTTGACTGTGTGAGAATTAAGTAAAAACTCCAGAATGAGGTCTAGTACAGTTACAATTTGAAATGCCAAAAAATAAAAATCACCATCCCACTGTCATATTACAGCCTGTCAATCTGGAAATCCTAAATGAATGGATTCGAATTACACTATCCCCTAACCACGGATTATTAACCTTTTCTTAAGAGTTATCAGCACTACTGAAAATAAAATCAAGCCCCTAATTTTTACAGATTGTGTACCTTCTTTTCAAAATATGTGTCCTAAGCATCATGGTTTCCTTGTACTTGGAAAACAAGTAAAATGTTTTGTGTAACTGATGTGAAAAACTAACTCGAGGTGCTGAGTGCCTTACCAAACTCTTCAGAAGGCTGCCATGAGGTACTCCAGTTCTAATTGTGGCTTTGCATCTGACTTATTATGTGGGTGTAATCCTGGCCAACTCATTAATCTCCAGCCCTGTTTTTCCAATCTGTAAAAGGGAATATATTATATTTAATTAATACAGTCTGTGGCTATTAATTAGCCAGTATGAAAAGGAATACTGTTTTGAATGACATTTACAATTCCATCTATACCTTTCTGTTCAACTGATTCTGCTTCTGATTTTCCCCTTAAAACAAGTAAATTAAGGCTGGTTGAAATTCAATCTCTGTTCATTTCATTACCAAAAGGAAAAGTCTTGGTGAGGTTTTTTCCACACCTTCAAGTCAAAGCTCCACGTGCTCTTGCTCTGGCTGTTCTGTGAAATTTAGCTTACAGATTTAATAGATTTTGCTATTCTTAAATGAAACTTTATTCCAATAATAAATTAAGCTTCACCCTTCCATAGTGGAGTGTTGTTACTCTCCTGAAATGCAGCAACCAATGCCTAACAGAGCTTTTTTTCCGTGTTCTATGAGAAAGATTATATTTCTCATACCATTGTTCAAGTGAAGCTGCCACCACCCTGAAAAAGGATGAAAGATAGATAAGATAAAAAAAAAAAAGCACTATAAAATCAATAGCTTTCTTTGTTATGAAGAAACCAATTAATCCCATGCAAAGATGCAGTTGCCAATGGAATGCAGAAAATTGTAATACCCCTACCAAGAAAACTCTATTCTGAATCCTGGTGTCCTCAACAAATCTTGAAGAAAGGCAGCCAGCAATTTCAAGAGTGTCTTTGGCCTGATTCTCTCCTAACAAAATGGCTTTGAGAATGTTTTATTATTTTTTTGTGAAGGGTGGTAAGAATCTCACACCAGTGAATCCTAGGAAAAAAAGTATGAAATACTGTTGTTTAAAAATGCTGTAGTCTTCAAGACTTTTTAACGTTAAATATTTTATTCATTGCAATTTTATCAAGGTATTTACAATTTACCATGTCTTTCAGGTTCTGACTTCCAGTCTCTGAAAAACAAACTAGCTTCCATATATTTTTAATGAAGTAAAAACTCTGAAGTGCTTCAACCTTCATTAAGGTTGAATCCAGATAAAGACACAAATTCTTTGTCCTGAGCCTTCCATAAAGATTGATAAAATATTGCAGAGAAGTACTCAGAATTTTTAAACTCCCTGGATTTAGCCTAATTTTCCTCCTTAGATTCTTCTTCCTGTTGTTGTTCTGCTGCCAGACAGTGGATTGCCAGCTCTTGAGAGTTCCTATTGAGTCTCTGAATATTAATTGGTGTTCTCAGAGACCACAGGGCTGAAATCAATGATTGTATAAGAATCTTCTCATTTTGTCTGAAATGGGCTTTCAGCCCTTGAAATTATGACAAAGGCTGGGAAGAAGAAGAACTGGTTTTAAGAAGCTCAGAAGGAAGCAGGCACATGAAAAAGTCAACATTTATTGCTTTTTATGTATGATTTTTAATGCTCAAATTAGGAAACATTGTGGTAGGAGGTACACTCTTCAAAGTAAGAAGTGTTTATATAAACAAAAGCAGCAAACCCTAATATTCCCTGGGCTTGGGTTCTGTAATAACTCAAGGATTTGGTGAACTGTGAAAAGAATGAGTCTGCAATAGCTTATTATGATAAAGCTTTTGTTTTGAAGAGGTTTGAGCCAGCCACACATGAGTTGTGACAGACCACAGTAAACAAACCACCACTATGAAGGTTTTTTTGCATCAGTCTACAAACAGCCCAAGCCACAGTCTCCAGTTTCTTCTGCCCTCATAACTGGGTTGAATCAAGGCACCAGTTCTCTGTAACAGGGTGAGAAACATGGCTCAGTACATCTCTGGGTTGTTTAATGTACAGACACAAGAAGAAATCCAGGTATTCAAGTTATTAAGCCTTGCTAATTTTCTGTGAGCTCTAACTTCTCCTGCTGTAGGTGAGTGAGATCCCAGCTTGTATGTCAATTGGAGGAAGAGATTGGATTAAAGGCTAAGACAGGTTAATTAATATTGCATGTCTGAAAAAATCTATAAGCAAACAGCAGCTGTTTAAAATGCTCTAAAGCAGCTGGATCCACAGATAGGTGCTAAAATATATACCACATCTTGGACGCATTTTGGAAGACATTAAAAAATAAACATGTAAAATACTATCTCCAAACTATTCTACAAAAGCTCACAGTCCAAAGACTCAGAGATTTCTGTCCCTCTGTGTCTTCAACTGGGGTCATGAATCATATTTCAGAGGAAACACAACCAAAACAACAAAGGACTAATTTGGCTCGTTACTTCTGAACATCTGTTCTTGCAGAGATACAGCAAGACTGTTTGAAGGAAACCTCTGCCCAAAAAAAGCCCAAACAAAAAAACCCTTGGAGTTTTTGGGTTATCAGTTGAGAAACTAGATTCCTTTTTTTTTTTTTTTGAATGAAAGTAATTATCTGGATTTTAAAATCAATTAAAAATTGCAGATTCTAAAGTGAAACCACTGACACGGCCTTATTATACCTTGTCTAGGCTGCATTTAAAGAAGATCACACCCACTGCTCTTCTTGACACAAAATCAAAACCCCAAGACCAGGAAAGTGGTTACTGTAGCATTCAAATGTGAATATAGTCAAGAAGATCAGTTGGAATATAGGCTAGTTGTTCCAACATTATATTAATAAAACGTTTTCAGTACCATTGCCACACAGCACACTCTTCCTGTTTTGAAATCATAATTTTAAGCCCAAAAAGGAGTCTAAATTTTCAAGTTAAAACATGGTGTAACCCTTAATATATTAACATAGGGAGGCAGTTAAAATTCTGCTTAAGATCCAATTTGCCTTCTTTAAAAAAACCGGTAAAATCTGAAAATTAATCAGGTCTGAGTTGTCTGGATGAGGAAATGCTTTTGCTGTTGTATCAGACACACCTGCTGCTCTGTCCAGCAGCTTCCACAATTTGTGGGGTGATCTCAGTTTCAAGTGCTCCCTCAAGAACCCTGCAAGGAGAAAATATTCTACCTTTGCTCAAGCCTCACTTCTTCTGTTCGCTGTTTGTCTTTAGAAATGTGTGGTAGAAGGGTGGTGCAAACTCCTTTCTGGCAACAGTAGCTGAACTCAGCTCTTGTTAAACTTCAAACTGCCTTAGCTCTTCGCCCTTAAAATTTTAAGGTATAATAGTCACCTATTACCAGCCAACAGAGAGAAATTGTCTGCACTAAACTTACAATCTATTTCAAAGAAAGTCACAGAATAGGATTGATATATATCATCATATGCTGAAATTCAGAATTTGATTAACCAGATGCTATTTTCTTTAATATCTCATGAATAGAAACTACAGTATAAAAACAATTCAAAACAATCATTTACTAGGAAATATGACATATGGCCTGCTAAGCTGCTTTCCTACAGAAATAGCTAAAGATCATCACACTTGGCATCACTCTCTACAACAGTCACTGGGCTCATTAAAACAGACAGTATGTGATTGAGTCCATAAGGAAGATTATTTCTACAGATGGGTAGAAACAATGATCAAAATTACAAAGACTTAGGAGAAAGAAGTAGTCAAGGAGACTTCTCCACCTCCATAACTTCTGTGCAGTAATACAAATCAAAGCAACACCACTAAAACACTTGCTGGGGAAAAAAAAAAAAAAAGATGCATTTTCTCCTTTTTCTTCATGGTATACATTTGCATCCTGCTAATGTATGGGATTTCATTTAACTCGTTCTGCTGGAGGGTTTCTCCTCGAGCGGGAACATCCTGATGTGAACAGAAAGCTGCTATCCAGCAGGGGCCACTTGTTGCCTGTGTTTAGTCCCAGGTCAATTGGGTGGAAACCAAAACTTAATGCTGTCATAGGATGAGCCCACGTCCTGTGAGTGGACTGGGATAACCACAACCACTGCACTGAGGTAACCACAACCGTGCTGTGATGTGATACTGCTGCAAATCCCCACTTCCCTGGGATCCCCACACCAGCAAACCTTTGGGATGTGGCACCACGGGACAGGAAATGTTAAGGCAATTACAGTGTGGCAACGACAATCTGATGTGGCAACCGTGCAATCACACTTAGCAAGTGTTTGCATTTGAAAGCAGCTAAGTTGTGATTATGTGCTTGCAACATATCCCCTATAGATGCCAGTGCCGTGGCATGGACTAGCTAAATTTAGGCTGTAACATGGTGCAGTGGATGGCTTTG